CCTGCTCCGCGCATGCCCCTCGAGGAGGCCAAGAAGGAGATGTAAGGATGTTTTTTTGGTGTTTCGGGGGGAGGGGAGAGAGAGGGGGTGGAGTCCCTGACCTCCTCGCGTCGTGGCGAGATTCACGCCAGAGCGCGCGATGCAATCTTTCCAACCTCCGTGGGGGCTGGGACCTGGTCCCCACACCGTTTAATAACAACTACTGAAAAGCTGCCCCACCCCTGGAATTGGTCTAGACCTCTGGGGTCCACGTTGCGTAAAAATCGCGACGTCGGAGGTCCGGGGTGTGGGGGGGGAGGCAGTCTTGAGCAGGCCAGAACAGGTCTAGGGTGGGGCTCCTGGGGCTCCACGCAGAGGAAACTCGGGAGGATGCTTTGCTTAAAGTCTTACAGCGTTTGGGGGGGCGCTCTTCGGGGCGGGGATAGAGGTTCAAGGAAGGGAGTCGGAGGATGACGAGGAAACAGATCAGGAAGATGACGAGGCGAAAACCGTCGTGCTGTTCCACCCTTTCCAGACAACGTGCGCTGCCGCTGTCCTGGCAGAGGCCTGGCTCTCCTTCCTCGGCCGGTACCTCCTCCTCCTCCTCCTTCATCCGATCTCTTCTCCTGGTCTGGCTCATCCGCCCACTCCTCAATATCCTTGACCTCTTCACCTGTTCGACACAGCGAAAGACGGGCCAACGACTGCGAGACGTGCCAAGGGGGACACGAGGGCGAGGAGGAGTCATCCGAGCCGTGGCGACCGCGCGAAAATGCGTCCGCCGACTCCCGCTGACTCGGGGCTGGGAAGGCGGCGTGAGATGATTTGCTGTGCCCCATTTGAAGGGGGGGGGGGGGCAGGCATCCCGAAGAGGGGGTGGGGTTGGGGCGAGTTCGTCAGAATCACCTCCTCTAGGCCTCACTGAAAACTGCTCAGGGCCCTCAGCGCGTCTTCAGAATAGAAGCGGCGTGACCAAACACACCAAAAGTTGGCTCAGCGATGGCCCATACATTATCCATACAGGCCCCAAGATGGCGCATATATGGCTTCAGGAAGCCACCAGAAGCGCGAATACCATCCTCCGGATGGTCCAAAAGAGCAACAAATCATCACTACACCATGCCATCTAGCAGATAGCTCATGTGTCGGTTCGTTATGGGTTCAATATTCTCGTTCCCTGTCTCTCTCTCTCTATCTCTCCAGGTGTCCGCGGCGATGCAAGAAGACATCGAGAGCCCCCAAGCCTGAGACTCCTTCAGACGGCCACAGGGCCCTCCTACACGCCTGTCACCACCCCACGCAAGCAGCAACAAGCTGGCCTCAAGAGGCCCCAGGAGGGTCACACGAGAGCCCAGCGATTGCCCCAACAAAGACCCCCAGGGAGCGTCCCGAGAGCACCCCAGGAAAGGACCAAGCGCTCGCCGACACACGTGTCGTGTCGAGGTCGTACCCAGAGCGCGCAGACGGGCGCGCTCCTCCCCCCGCCTCCACACTTACGCAATATGAGTACTACGCTCCTCTCTCCCCTGGTGGCGTCCGGGAAATGTTCGGCCCCCTCCGCGTACCGGTTTTTTACACACCGGATTCCGGGGAGTTTGGTTTTCGCCTGGTTTATTTGTTTGTGTTCGGTTTATCGTGTTTTCCCCATTATGCTGCTTTCGCTGAAGCGCTGGCCTCATTTTCGGGCTACCGCTCATTCCGAATCGTGCTCCCGCTGCAGCGCTTGCCTCGTTTCCGCGCTTCTGCTGGTTCCGGATCGTGCTCCCGCTGCAACTTCCAGCGCCATGCCACAGCATGGTTTCGGTCCTTCCAAATCGGCCCCAAAATCTAGAAAATGACCCCCCCCCCCGAAGAAACCATCGGAAATGATTACACATTCGGTGTCGATTCGGTAAGTTTTGGGGCCTCAGAAGCCTCCTCCCACTTTGGCCCGTCGCCACGTCATGCTATGTCATGCTACGCGTTGATCTTCAACACCATGCAATGCCATGTGATGCTATGCCATGTTGCGACATCCGATCTTGCGGAAAGAAAGGAGATCTATGCCATGGTCAGGGATGGGAGGGAGGGGTAGGAGGTCAGATATGACGCGAGCGCATCTGGCTTGCCTCCTCCTGCTCCTCCTCCTCCTCCTCCTCCTCCTCCTCCTCCTCCTCCTCCTCCTCCCCCGTGCCACTGGGATTCTTCGCGTTTTTGAGACATGTCGCGTCGAGGTCATACCCCCCCTCCAGCACCACCTGACAGGGGGATCCTTTTGGGGGGGGGCACCAGGCCTCCTGCCCTGGGGTCTCACGGACCGCCGTCTTCGATCTCTGACTGCCAGGCCTGTGCTTCCACCGCCTCTCTTCCCCTCGCCCTCCTACTGTGCGATCCTCCTCCTCCTCCTCCTCTCCTCCTCCTCCTCCTCCCTCCCCCTCCTGCACGTCCTCCCCTCCTCCTCCTCCGCCTCCTCCGCCTCCTCCGCTCCTCCTCCTCCTCCTCCTCCTCCTCCTCCTCCTCCTCCTCCTCCTCCCCCTCCTGCACGGTCCTCCCCCTCCTGCACGTCCTCCTCCTTTCTCGGGGGTCGGTCGAATAGCGTAAGCATCTCGAGTACCCAACCGACACCAACCGAGCCCCTGAAAATGGGCCCCGCTCTGCCAGACGCCTCGGGCAGGCGGCTTGTGAGCATAGCTTGGTGGCTGGCTGAACGACAGCTTTGAGACGAGCGTACAACCTCGACGAGGAGTCTCTCCGAGAAACCCCACCTCGAAGCCCCTCGGGGAGACCCCAGACGCTGCCCGATTGAGAAGATTATGCAGGGATGCTGTCCGCCACGCGGCTGAATATCTGAGCTTCCGCCGTCTGTGGGCCAAATGCAGCCGGAAATAGAATAAAGAAACTTATCATTCAAGAAACCCGGGCCAAATTTCTGGAAGTGTTTTAAGACAAGCCTGGGCCAAAGGTTCGTGTTCACGACGGAAGGGGCGAACGTGCTTGAGACACTGGGCCAATGTTCTGGCAAGTTGGTTAAGAGCAGCTGGCCCAGCTTTTCGGGAGGTCTCTTGATCAGATGCTCGACTGTACGACAAGATTGTCGTAAGCGTCGGCAAGACCGTCGAACCTCGGCCTGTCGCCCGAGCCTTGCGGCGAGGCGCTAGAACGCGAGCTTGCTTCCCTGGGTATTTCGGTAGCGCCTTCGGTTGGCAATACTTCTGCAACGATTGAAACCCATTCTGGGCATTTTGGCCATGGTTGACCATGGTTGTGGTGTTTGTGTGAGTCCCCCTCCCCGCCGCCGACAAGCCCCCTGGTGGCGCCTGGGACCTCTGGGCCGGGCCCCGAAGACCGCTCCCGGCTGAGGAACTGCTCAGCTCCAAGATGCGGCTGCGCCCAACAAGGCGACACTGGATTTGCACAAGGAGTGTAGGTATTCATGGAGATAGCCTCGTGAAGCGAACTCCAGGGAATCCCTTGGGATACAGTCAGCGCGAACGACAGATCATGAGGGCGTGTGGTAAGGGTGCAAGCCCCTTGAACGCCTAAGGGAAGCATCTTGTTGAGCTAAGGCTTGGATGCAGATGGGCAGAACATACAGAGGTCCAGTGGTACTCTTTTGATCGCCGTTCCCCCTGACGTTGCGAGTGGGCAACGGATTCGTGGTGCTTCTTCAGCTCATCCTGGGCCAACGCTGGCGTCCAGAAGCTAATGCTCATGCCATGCTTTCTTCTTCGAGTTTCCTCCCAGAACCGCACCCTTCCTGCCAGCAGTCGCAGAGCCCGATAGGTGAGACAGCAGGACGGGCATCCCCAGCGGCAGGGACTTGGGGGCCCACGGCGGCCCGGAGGGCGAAGGGCAGGGGAGGGGCAGCGGGAGGAGCAGGGGGGAGGCTCGAATGTTCTCGTCAGGGAGCCCGTGGAGACCAGGTCAAGCCTGGGCACGATGCAAACTCTAGAAGAGGATGAAGAAGAGAAATAAGAACCATCATAAAGAAGAAGAAACGCCATAGATATAAACTTTCGGGGGTCCAGCGCAGATCCGAAAAACCGCGCGGAGCGCCAACACTTTCTGTTTATGGCGTTTTTCTGTATCGTCGTCGAAACTCACAACCCAGGAGAGTAGTCACCGCTTTGGGGGGGAAGGCCCATGGACGAGCGAGAAAGCACCGCCCTCCCAGCCTTCGTGGGTGGGCGGACCAGGGCTTTGCGTGGATGGCAGGGCGGAAGCTGGAAGGGCAGGGCGGGGCAGCGGACGGAACGGGCTGCGCAAGGCACACAGGGCAGGCTCGCGTCGCGGCGACGTCGGCATCGCTGACTTCTGACACCGCGTGGGCGCTCCACCGTGAGCCGTCGCAGCTTCCCGATAACGCAGATCGTTCGATGTCGGCCAACCCAGAGCCTCCGGCAGCGTTCAGTCTTGAACGCCTGCGCCGGGGTCCCCCTCTATCCTCAATCCCCTCCTCCGCGGCGGCGGCGGCGCTCAATCTCGAACGCCCCGCGCGTTGACACAAAAGCGAACCTACCGTCTACCGTGAAAGAGGGGAAACATTTTGGAGCGTTTTGGCAAACATAGCGTGCAGGGGGGGTAAGAGAAGATAGGCACAACTGGGATCCCAGCGCTCTCAATCCGACGACCGAGAGCGACCCCTAGCCCCTACGCTCCCGCCAGACGGCGGGATGGGCGAAGGCTCCACCAGGGACAGGGAGGGATCCGAGAAGGCCGATCTCGAAACGTCGGCACGCGACCGCTTCTGAACCGAGGCCAACACTCGGGCCTCGCGGAGCCTCGAAACAGCCTAAGGATGCCCAGCATGAGAAGGAAATAACCCCGCTCAAGAGGGGAAGGGAGACGGAAGGAGGGGATGGGGAGGGAGGGCAACGGGCAGGCGGGGGCTGGGAGGTGGGCAGGGTCGAGGACATGCTCCTTCCCTTCTCCAGGTCATCCCTCCCTTCTCCTCCTATTTCTCTCCTTCCCCCCTCTTCCTCCCTGAATCCGTTTTCTCCGCCCCTCCTCTTCCCCCCCCATTGCCCTTCATCCCTCAGTTTTTGACTTGATAGATACCTGCCGTTCGCTGATATCAATCCCAAGTCGTCCTTACGAGGCACGATCAGTAGCGGGGGGTCACTTTCGGTGTCTGGGCACCATGCAATAGAGATCGGTTATGTCAGATTGTTTGGCGAAGTGCAACGCCTGGCGTCGGCGTCGGAGCGCCAAACGGACGCGCTGGACCGCCTCATCGCTCGCCAAGGTATTTTCCAGAAGGACTTCATTGAGTGCCTGAAGGGCATCGCCGCTCTCCAGAAGCTCGGCGAACTCTTGCACCGATTCGGTACCGACCCTGCTGTCATCGAGGGAGAGCATCTGGAGTTTCGGCAGCACGCCAGGAAGCCAGAAGACTTCGAGAAGCGATCGCATGCCAGCATCGGAAAGCTCATTGAGGCCCAGGTGAAGCTCCTCGATGTCGCGCAGTCCGCCGCCGCCCTCGATCTCCTCGTGCGCGAACCGCAACGCCACCGCGAGCTGGGCGATGTGCTCGTCCGTCCAGGACTGCCCTGCGTACCTTGAGCAGGGACCGACCGTCCCGACATTCCTATAGGCTTGCCACGAAGTGGTCTTCGAACCCGACATGATCTAATAACAGAAGCAGTGCTCTTATCATATAGGCCGATGTAGTATAACAAGACAGCCCCAGCCAGAAATGCTCTAAGAACATTTCGTGCAGACCACAAAAGGTTATTAGACCATTCATTAGTGGGCCTGTAGGTCAGCCAGGACGCTTCGCCACTGCTCGAGTACCACATCTCCCTGATCCACGGCGTCGAGTACGCCCTCTTGAAGCCGAGCTCGTACTGCGGGATCAGGCGCTCCTCCACGTCGGACCCGTTGGTCACCCTGAGGGCCCCGCTCCCGACGGCATTGCGCATCATGGCCGAAAAGGCCGGCGGCGCCAGGGGGGCGGCCCGGCCAGCGCGGCAGCCCTCGACGATGGAAAGCCAGTTGGGCATCTCCGCCGCAATGTAGCGCTCGAGCGAGAGCAGGTTCGCCATATTCTTGACGAGTGCGGCGACCGACCTCTCGAAGGTAGGCCAGCCACGCTCTCGATACGGCTGCTTGTAAGTTGCCGACGCGTCGGTGATCGGCGTGTCTACAAGGAGTGTCCACACGTACGGGTGCATGTACCAGACATTGACGCTACTGAGGCCCGCGCGAAAGCGCGACACCTCTTCCTCACTGCGGTCCTCCCCGTCCGTCAGGGCCGAGTCCCGGCCAGGCCGCGCCGAGTAGCCGCGCTGGGGAAAGGCACAGAAATCCCACACCACACCCCACGTCAACCTCATGCTCTCGTCCATGCTGTCGAGGTTAGCCACGATCGCCCGGAATATGGGTAACAACATGCGGAGCTGCGCGCCTTCAGGGTCTGGGTGTCTCTGAGTCCACCACGGGTACGACAGCACGAGCACCGGCAACCCGTAGTACAAACCGTACGGTCCACCTTCCACGCGCCCAACCGAACTGCGCAGGTCGTCAATGGAGACCTTGGCCTCGGCTGGAAGATTTTGCCACGCTGGTATCACGCCGCCCCTCTCACCCAGTTTTACAAGCCAACGCACGCAAACGAGCGTGGTGCACTCAAGCAGCGGCTCGAGCTCGGCACCTGCGCGTAAGGACCAATCACTCCAGGGGGACACCATGACCCCCGGACGCGGCATCACATCCGCCACTGGCTGCGCTTGGTTGGCGGTCGGGTGTTCTGGTTTCTCCACGTTTCCATTGCCCTTGATACTGCACCCGCAACCCATTTGTTTTACAAGCACTATGCAAACAGAGCTCTCATTGGCGAGTCGTTTATCACTGCGAGAACATGGTGCTCAACCCAACGCTCACGCAAACAATCTTGGGCCACTCGGAAACGGACAAACGGTGACAATAGTGATGGTGATACGTGTCTGATATGTGTGTACGAAAGATGGGGGGCGAGAGAGAGGGGTGGGGGAAAGAGAGAGAGAGAGAGAGAAAGATAGAAAGACGGGTACCAATGTGTGGGAGACAGAACGGTGGGCGGCAGGAAAAAACGAGAGCGAGAGAGAGAGGGAGAGAGAAAGATATCATAAAGGCGAGCATGGCGTGAATGTGTCTGTCTGTGTGTGTCGTGCGATTCTGGATGCTCTGGGATATGGGCCCCTGCCTGTGCCTAAAGGACGCTCGGCATGTTCTTTTGGTTCTGGTCCGTCCGACAAACGGCATTAAAGGTAGACAGGCTCGCTCGAACTGGCAACGATTCACCCACCAGCCCTCAGGGCGAGCAAGAGGAGGAGAAGGAGGATGAGGAGGGTGATTTATTGCTTATGGTGTGCCCTCTTTCCCCTCCATCTCTCCCCCCCAATCCGACGGGTTAGAAGCTCCTCTTTGATAGATTCTGGAAGCCCTGAACCCAAACACGGCTTCATCTCTTGAAAGGCCAATTTTACTTCCGCCGGCTTCCGCCGAGCTTCCGCCGCCTTCCGCTGGCGGAGGCGGCCTCCTTTTACTTCCGCCGACCTTTCGCCGAGGAAGAGATGACAACTCTTTCGATCCTCGAAGGCAAACCTCCCAAATTGCACACTATACTTCGCCCAATATGGTTCCAGATGGCATCCGACATGCCTCAAGAGGGACCCACAAAGGCGGCAATCGCACCCACGAGCGTTTCAGCGGCGTCCATCTCAAGCTTGCTTCCCTAGGTATTTCGGTAGCGCCTTCGGTCCGCAATACGTCTGCAGCGATTTCAACCCATTGGGCATTTTGGCCATGGTTGACCATGATTGTGGTGGTGGTGCGAGAATCCCCCTCCCCGCCGCCATCAGGCCCCCTGGTGGCGCCTGGGACCTCTGGGCCGGGTCCCGAAGACCGCTCCCGGCCGAGGAACTGCTCAGATCCAGTGTGCAGCTGCGCCCAGCAAGGCGACACGCTGCCCCCCCATTTATCGCCCCCCATTGCGCGACGCCCGACGAGTAATGAGCTGGGAGTTGCTTGGAGTGGTCCTGGCACAGAGTGTTCCCTGCTGTTCGCGCCGTCTTGGGGCACATGGGGCCTTCTGGGCCTCGCGATGGGTGCTCTGGAAGCCATCTGCGCCTCCCTGGGGAAGCTGGGGCCACTGGGGCCAGGGCCACGCCGAGCCAACTTCTAGCAACACCCGAGTCGGAGGGCCAGCTTCTCTGCCTCGTCCCAGCCGCCGCTGCCGCTTCAGGTCTCTCTCACACTGGCGTTCAGACGCTGCGGAAGCAGGTCGGCCAGCATCCAGGAGCGGCGCGCTTTTGTCCGCGTCTCGAGGCGGGCCCACGAGAGGCCCACCAAAAGGCCTTCTAAGGCTTCAGGGGGAAGCACGCCCAGACCCCAGACACCTCGAACCTCGAGGCCTCGAACCTCGACACCTCGAACCTTGTGGCCAGTCGGCAAGATCTGGTCACCTCCGAAACGCCCTCAGCGAGGCGCAGCCGCTGGAACGCACCCCGAGGCTGGAATACCGCTGAGGATCGACGAAAACGCCCGAACACCCCGAAACTCGAGCCTGGGATGCGAGCGTGTCCGGGATGGCCTCCTCAGAGTTGGGGAAACCAAACGGTACCGATACCGCTATTCCCCGAACCTCTCCCCGGGTGCGTTCTGACCAGAGTTCCGAGGCGAATCCAGCAGTGGCGACGAGGGACTCCCAGGAGGCCCAGAACGGCGAAAACGAGGAAGGGTAGAGCCTGATCTTTTAGACTCCAACAAATTTACTTGCATGGACGGGGGGGGCCTGAACATAATGCAAGCCGCAAGCGGTTTGCACGTACGGGAATCACACAAGTCGAACAGCACTTGCACTCCAGCGCTCGTTTAAAAGGGACGAGGAGGGGCGGAGGGGGCGAACGCCATGCAAGTAAATTTGCCTTAGTCTACAACAAGAGGCTCGTACCGGTGTGGGTATCTTTTCCTTCTCGAGCACCCCCCACGAGGCCCATCTCGAGTTCTCCAGCCTCGGAGGGAGGCCTCGCAAACGGCGCATGGCGGCGTCACTTCGCCTGCACGAGCTCCAACACGAGCCTCCCGGCGGGCGGCGCCGCGGCGCCCGGCACGGCTGCTGGCGCGCCCGCCCCGGAGACCTGCAGCCGCGCGCCCCTGGAGAGTGAATATTTTTTCTCCCCCCAACCACGCCCCGCGTTCTCCTCCTCCCTTCCTCCTCCTCCCCCTCCTCCCTCCTCCCATCACCATCATCATCATCATCGTCACCATCATCATCACCATCATCATCATCATCATCACAATCCGCATCGTCATCATCACCATAATCATCATCGACATCATCGACGTCATCATCACCATCATCCATCATCGTCATCATCATCATCACCCATATCGGCACACCTCTCACACGATTCGTGGCCCCATTACAGCGCTTCATGGCCCCATTGAGGGCTCCACCGAAGGCCCCAGTGGGACAGCCCGCATGCGTCATCCCCCACCCAATACAGCGTTTCGTGGCCCCATAGGGAGCTCCACCGGAAGCCCCACTGGGACCGCCCGCGTGCGTCATCCCCCACCCGGTACAACGCTTCGTGGCCACATAGGGAGCTCCACCGAAGGCCCCAATGGGACCGCCCGCGTGCGTCATCCGCCACCCAGCGCAGCATTTCGTGGCCCCATGGGGAACTCCACCGAGGGTTACAGTGGGTCGCCCGCGTGCGTAACCCACCACCCAGTACAGCGCTTCGTGACCCCATAGGGAGCTCCACCGAAGGCCCCAATGGGACCGCCCGCGTGCGTCATCCACCACCCAGTACAAAATTTCGCGGCTCCATACGGGGCTCCGCCGAAGGCCCCACTGGACCGCCCGCGTGCGTCATCCACCACCCGAGGTCTCCGTGGCGGAACTCGCATGGCGGCCCAGTGGCGGAGTTCGCATGGCGGCGACTTTCGATTCTCGGACGATTTTCGTCGTTTTCGACAAATTGAAGCCGCTTTCGGGCCGCGTATCCCGGGCGGGAACCAGCCTGCTCGCTTTCTCTGCCCCGCGCAGCGGGCGACCCGCACGCGTCGCCGGGACCCCTTCTAGGCGACCAGCACGCGTTGCGGGGACTCCGTGCGGCGCCGCGCCCGCAGCCTTGGACGTGGGCGCGCACGGGCAAAGAGGGAGAAGAAAAACGGGAAGGAAGCGGGCGCGATCCTCGCGAGAGGCGTGCTGGCATGGGCGTCGACAGTTACGCACGTAGACTCACGCGCGCGCAAACTCATCCACAATCAGACTCATTCGTTCTCATTTTCTCGCACGAAGACCTATCGTCTTCGCTCGCTTTGGGTGCCCCGCCACGCATGTCGGCACGCCCCTCACACGGTTCGTGGCCCAATAGGGAGCGCGGGCGAGGAAGATATTCAGAATTGCGGAATTCACAACTGCATATGGTTGGGTCCTTCGCCAGGCTGATGTTTTGATTTGTTGTGCATTCCAAGAAACCTTTAAACACATTCAGAAAGTCTCGATTTCGAAATCATTCGATGTGTTTGCTTTTGAGGTTTTTTGGGGGGGAGGGGGCTCTCTGTTCGTTTTCGTCCCGCAGAACTGCCCTCTCGTGGGCGTGAGGAGGGTCGAGCTCCACATCGAGGCGCGCCGCCGATGCATCGGCGATGCGGCGCGATAGTTCGACATATAGGAGGTCTGGGCTCTTCTCAGACTCACCAAATAGAAACAAGCACATGCATACAAATAGCAGAGAACATACAAAGTAGAAAATAGAGCACAATGCATATGCCAGAACGTGGAGGGCAGTAAGACGAGCGCAGCATAAAGCAGCGAACACAGAACATGGAGTGGAGAACGATGCGTTGAGACACCGAGAACAGAACGCATCGGGGGAAGGTAGATATGAACTTCAGACAGAGAAGACATACACATATATGTAGACAGAGAGGGAGAGAAAGAGAGAGAGAGAGAGAGAGAAAGCGGAAACTAACGAAAGAGAAAGGGCCAGAGAGAGAGAGAAATAGAAAGAGAGCAGCTAGTAGACACTAGACAATGGAGAAACCAGTCAGGCATTGCCATACGGGATCTGGCAGAGAGAACGAAACCGAGTGGGCTATACCACGGCATGGCCCAGTGGAGCTCGAGCCCCCCTCTCGCCAGAAAAGTGGACTTGATTCCAAAGCTTTGACCGCAGAGAACAAACATGTCTGCGTCGGCGGCGAGGCAGGGGTCGTCTGCGCTAGCGGAGAGGCCTAAACAGGGGTGCCGTTGAAGCGGATTGTGCCACCATGCAGGAGGGAGGGGAAAAGCCGGGGACGCGGCCGAAAGAGGGGGCGGAGGGAGCGAGCCGCTCACGCAGAGAGCCAAACAAGCTGCCACACTCGTCACCCCTGGGGGTTCTAGCCGGCCGCCAGCGCACTGACTCTCTACGCTTGTCGCGCGAGCGACAGGTCTTTGTTTTTAGGGTTCCCTCCTGCGGTGTCTGGTCTCTTGTGGGTCTTCGGCGGCCCCCCCTCGCCGACAGCGCTGGAAGGCGGCTCGGAGGTGTGGGCAAGGCAAGGGCGGCGCCCGAGAGGTGCCTGAGGGTCGATCATGAGCGGAGTTCCGCCAGAAGGGCCGACCCGGACATGATCGCGTCGTGAACAATCAGGACGGCACATTTTTCGCTATTTTCTGCGCCTGGGGGCCCTCGCCGGCCCCACGGAACGTCAAAAACGACTCAGGGTGAAAAGATGGTCCTGGGGAAAGAGTCTGGACTTCTGGGGACGCCGTCCTGACATTAGCCAGGCGAAGGACCCAACCATATGCAGTTGTGAATACCGCAATTGTGAATATTTTCTTCGGTGGCGCTCCCTATGGGGCCGCAAACCCGGTGAGGGGTGTGCGACATGGATGCAGCGGATGCATGCGGACGGTGGCACTGGGGCCTTCGTTGGATGGGTATGCCGATGGGTGAAGGGAGCGCATGCGGGCGGTGGCTCTGGGGCCTTCGATGGAGCTCCGTATGGGGCCACGAAACGTGTGAAGGGTGTGCTGGAATGGGCGTGAGTGACGCATATTGGTGGTGGCACTGGGACCTTCGGTGGAGGTCCCTATGGGGCCACGAAGCGCGTGACGGGTGTGCCGGAATGGGCGTGGGTAACGCATGCGGGCGGTGGCACTGGGGCCTTCGTTGGAGTTCCCTGTGGGGCCACGAAACGTGTGAGGGGTGTGACTTGTGGGGGACGCATGTGGGCGGTGGCACTGGGGCCTTCGGTGGGTGCCGGAATGGGTGTAGGGAACGCATGCGGGCGGTGGCACTGGGGCCTTCGGTGGAGCTCCGTATGGGGCCACGAAACGTGTAAAGGATGTGCCGGAATGGGCGTGAGTGACGCATGCGGGCGGTGGCACTGGGGCTTTCGGACTGGGCATGGGTGACGCATGCGGGCGGTGGTTCTGGGGCCTTCGTTGGAGCTCCCTATGGGACCACGAAACGTGTGAGGGGTGTGACGTGTGGGGGACGCATGCGGGCGGTGGCACTGGGGCCTTCGGTGGAGCTCACTATGGGGCCACGAAGCGTGTGAGGGGTGTACCGAAATGAGTGTGGGGGACGCATGCGGGCGGTGGCACTTGGGCCTTCGGTGGTGCTCACTATGGAGCCTGGAAGCGTGTAAAGGGTGTGCCGAAATTGGTGTAGGGAGCGCATGCGGGCGGTGGCTCTGGGGCCTTCGTTGGAGCTCCCTGTGGGGCCACGAAACGTGTGAGGGGTGTGCCGAAATAGATGTGGGGGACGCATGCGGGCGGTGGCACTAGGGCCTTCGGAAGAGCTCCCTATGGGGCCACGAAGCGTTGTACTGGGTGGGTAAAGCGCAGCGAGGAGGGGGAGGAGGGAGGAGGGGGAGGAGGAAGGAGGCGGGAGGAGGAGAACGCGGGGCGCCGTCTCTTCAAAACGAGGACCCAACACCACAGGATGGTTGGGAAAAACCAGGACGTCACATGTCTGGGGACGTAGGAAGGCGCCAACGGTGCACGGGCACCGATCCTGGCCAGGCCCACCCTGGGCCCCGCGGCGACGCAATTTTAGGCGCTGCCTCGTGGGGGGTCGCGAAGAACGGGGGGGGAGGATAGGTGCACCGTTCGTGTTTGGGCCCGAGAGGTCCCCTGAAGCGCAGGAAGGCGCACCCTTCTTAACCCCCCAGTTTATCGTCCCCCCCACCGCTACGCAACGCCCGACGCAAGTACCCTCCTGGACCGGCCGGGAAGGCATGTGCATGCGACCGTCTCGGGCGCAAGGTGGGCCCGACCAGCGCTGGCGTCGGTGCGCACCCTGCCTCCGCCGACCCACCCTGGTGCCGACCGCGCCCGCCCCACTCGTGCGGGTGAGCGCGCCCGGAGAGGACGGCGCGTCTTCTCCGAGCACGCCCGCCCCGCGAGGAGGCGGATCACTACCAGTCTGTCGTGCGCCCCTGGCACCTCCCGGAGACTGCATTCAAGCCACGGCAGCATGGGAGGATGGGGAGGAGCTTGAAGAGGGGGGAGAGGGGGGGAAGGAGGACGAGGAGGGAGCGAGGAGTGGGAGGAGGAGGAGGATGAGGAGGAGGAGGAGAAGGGAGCGAGGAGTAGGAGTAGGAGTAGTAGGAGTAGGAGTAGGAGTAGGAGTCAAGCTAGCCAGCTCGAGCGAGTCAAGCATGGCATGCCCAGTCCCACCCGCCCTCCCACAACATAAGAAGCAAAGCTGGC